TGCTGCAGAAGGATCTAGAGGTAGCCTGAACTGAGTCAGCGCTGTGTATCAAGTCAAAGGACTAACACAGATCAGAACCATCATGTCTTCTTCAACGAATCTGGCTTCCACGACCATGTAAATGCCCTTATAAAGGCTTCTCATATTTTGCTAACGACATTAGATTGTTCATCAAGTCTTAACTTTGTACGGTACCGGCGCAACCACAAAGGATCTGGACACAGCCTATAACGCCAACAAGACATATCAGCTTAGGGCCATGAAACCAAAGCCTGATGTCGTTGATAAACTGGAACACGGCTCAGACTGGTCAGAATATCTTGGCAAAGGTCGAAATTATGCTACATTCTTTCGTTTCTTCCAGGATGAAATCGAAAGAATCGGATGGCAGGGCACACTCAAAGAGTATCTCTTCAAAGACGATGCACGAGGTCGCGACATGCAAAGCCGTCTATTTGCCGGTATCCTTCACCCGCTTATTCAGTTGCTGTATGGCATGGAGTGGTCACAGCCCATGATCATCGCTTCAGCTCTTGCACAGACTGCTGTTCATCGAGACGACTATAAAGAGTTCCTCACAGCCGCTGCTGGAAGGGCTCAAGCTTCCGATGCGCCACCAAAGATGAAGACCATCGGAGGCCTTTATGAAGACGTCATAAAGAATGACAAACTTCGAACAAGCTCGCATTGGGATGATTCCAATCGGATCTTTGATGGTGTGTTCACGAGGGCAAAGGATGATATGATCACATTGGCTGCGAGAGTGAGGATTAATGAGGAGGAGCTAGACGAAAAGATTGCCGAGATGGTGCATCATTCTGCTTTCGTTGCTTCAGCTGCTGCGTTTCATCCGCCTCATGCTCCAAGATTCGAATTTATTCTCATGCAAGTCTCTCCTTTCCACACTGACCACATTGCTAACTGAAACAGGCATCACATAACATCGACACCATTCTTCCTCTCCCTAAAAGAACAGTCCTGGATTCCGGAATCAACCAAGGCGCGCTTCTTGGAGAACAAAATCCGTATGGATCTCCTACAGTACATCGCTCGTGGCTCGCCAGCTCTTCACGGCGATTTGCTCCGTGGCTATAAGCCCAAGGATGGAGATAATCTGGTGGGTAAGCCAGAAGATCTATTCCCGAGGATTCACAAGGTTGTGGACGATGGACACACTGTCAAGTTGGCCAGGGCATTGATGCTGGCGCAAAGAGTTACAAAACCGTATGAGAACAAGGAGTGGGTGAAGATCAAGGGAGATGACGAGTGGTTGAGGGCTGTGTACCTGTTGCTGGATGCCAATGAGGAAGCTGATAGGCAGGGAGGTACAATGTGGGTTAGGTCTTCAGGGTTCGATGAAGCTTGGGAGGAGATTCCCAAGGCTAAGATGTAAGACAACGGAGACTAAAGGCTTGTATGATATGCATGGGTATTATGAATCGTATTTACCGTCTATTCTAAACCAATCCATTCATCAGATCCCGCCTCAGACTGCTCATCTCCGTCAACATCCATAAGCTTCACATCCACAGTTTTGCCACTTTCTAATGCCTTGACATCCTTCTTCCCAGACTTATCCTCCGCTTGACCCAACAAATAATCAACCATGTACACGTTTTCGTCGGCAAGTCTCCTAATCTCATCCCTCATCTTGGATACAGCTCGCGCAACGACTCTTAGTTCAATATCGGCCTTAGCACGGTTTGCCGAGAGCCAAGCTCCGTGTTTGTCAACGATAGCCTTGATCCAGACGAGACAGAACTCGATGTGGGGTGACTCCTCGGTCTGGGCGGCGACGAAACGGAGAAGACGAGAAACATAAACGGTAGGGAGGTCGGCAACCACGAGAGGAATTTCGGCGGAGGGGATAGCTTGGAAGACTCGTTTGATCAGACCAGCTTCGTTGAGGCGGAAGGCCATGACGAGTGCCTTGAGGTAATCTTGCTCTGTCTCGAGAACAGCGAGTGTTGAGGCAGGGGTGATCTCCATGTTCAGGTCAAAAGGGTCGAACTGGATGTCCTGATCCAAACTATAGATCAAAAGACCTTCTGTAGAGGCAGCACAGAATGCAGTGCCTGCAGGTGAGAAACCAATGCCTGTCACACGCACCTCAGGGACCTTCCTTCGTGCTGAAGGATCGCCCCGTTTTGATCCTGGCAACGAGCTATCCACGCGGTCTTCGCGGTCCGAGGCTTCTTGATCGTCGAGGTCTCCAGCAGGGCCGGCTTCAGTCAATAACTTGCTGTTGAGGAATTCCTGGGTACCGGAGAGGGAAAGGTTGACGCTGACAGTGTACTTCTTCAGCAGCACCATGGTTGTCACGGAGTACAAGCAGATGTACTTGCTGTTTCCGCCAGCCAAGAGACAGCTGCCATCAGCGCTATATCGAATTGTGTTAAAGCTCTTTGTGCCGGCCATGTTGGCCGCTGTTCGGCGATCTGTGAGTTTTCGTCCTCCTGAAACATCTCTTCGTCCATCCACTCCAGAAGTCTGCTCTGCATCTGTTACCGACCAGAAAGTAAGCTGGCCATCTAATGTTGAGATGGCAAGTTGCAAAGAATCTGGACGAACAGCAATATCGAGAACATCGGCCTGGAGCTGCAGGGGCTCGCTGGTCTGTGTCCGGCTGAAGATAGACCAGATACGGGCTGTGCGGTCCCAAGAACCACTGATAAGTGAGTCACCATTGGGTGTGAATGCCAGGGACGAGACAGGGCCCTCGTGGCCCGATAGCTGATCAAGAAGTTGGCCTGTCTGGACGGACCAAATGTGAATGTCGAAGGAATCGAGAGATCCAGCAGCTACGACTTCGCCGCTGGGGTCAACAGCCATGCATGAGAATGACAGTCTCGTAGGTGCTGTGAAAGTTCGGAAGTTTCGGTACCGGATTAAATCCCAGGCTCGAATAGATCCATCCAGACTCGATGTGAAGAGAACATTACCCTTCTTGGCAAACTCGCAAGCTGTAACGCCGCTAGTATGCTCAGTGAAGGTAACTACACAGAAGCCTGACTGAATATCCCAGACCTTAATCTTTCCGTCGTCGGCAGTGGTGATGATGCGCTGGCCGTCAGGTGAGTAGACCAGGGCGTTCATGGCATCGAAATGGCCCTGCTGTTTAAGAATGTAAGATTCAGACTGCCACTCCCATACAAGTAATTGTCCCAGCTTGGACGCACCAAACGCCAACCATTCGCCACTTTTGTTGATGGTGACAAAGTCGATATCGTTTTGCGAGATGCTCAGCTTGTGGATCATGTTGAAGTCGGGCATCTCGTACAGGCCAAATAGACCGTTAGAGAAACCAGCAACCAGGAGATTCGTCTCAGGGTGGAAAGCAGCGCATCGCACATGAGCGCTTCCCTGCATGAAGTAGTGCCGTTGGACAATGCGCCATCGCATATCTGAATCATCATCGTCATCATCCATCTTGTCGTCATCCTTAATACGGTTGATAGGCTTAACATATTGCCAATCAAAGACGGCGCCATCCTTGCTAACAGTGTAAATCATCTCCTGATTTTCTGAAAACCAAGCGCCAATGACAGCCTGTTTATGGCCTGAGAGCACTGTTGGGGTGAAACCCTCCTCAGGGTTCAAACTCCATATCCGCGCCGTGAGATCCTTGGAGGTTGTGAGAAAGAATCGTGAATCGCTAGACCACTCAATGTGGCTGACAGTATCAAAATGGCCGGTATGTGTGTGGTAGCGAACGAAAGGAGCAAATTCGAGTTCACTCTCGGCAGAAGCATCGGGGGTTGAGGGGACGTGCCAGACCTCAATTTTGCGGCCCAGTCCCACGGCGAAGTGTCGACCAGATGGCGAGAATGAAAGCGCTGTGACGGAAGACCGGAAGGAGAAGTGGTATATGGATATCCTTCGGGGGACATTGGTCAAGATCGCGTGTCCATCTTCGTCAATGGAGAGGAGAAGGTTGCCGCGCGGTGTAAGTCCAATACGGGCGATGTTTTTTCGATGAGCGAACGGGAGGGTATATGATTTGTTTCTGGGGAGCAATTAGTTTTCGCCCTTTCATTCTGCAGTTCAGACCGGCTTAAAGTAACTTACTCTACCAGATTAAAGACAGTCACTCTGTTGCCGACTGGCGAGAAAAGATGGGTGCCATCGGGGCTATAGAGCAGATTGCCCTGGCAGTAAACAGTGCCCAGCAAGTTCGAGAACTATATTTATAAGTCAACACATCGTACCGAAGCCGGAGCCATGTCGTTGCCATCCTTACCTTGAAATCGGTCTTCATTATTGTCTGCAGGTCATAGCCATGATGCTTCTAAACATCAAATCGCAAACCCGCCAAAAATTCATCGTTGCGCCTTATCGATAAGAGCCAATTTTTTGCGACCGTCGGCAATGGAGTTATTCCGAGACAACCTGCCACGAGAATTCCATTGTGGCTGGCCCTCTGGGAACCAGAAAACATCTTACGCTAAGCTGAAGTGCCAAAAATACCTAGGTAGTCTAATACCCAGTACTTGTACGCTAAGCTATACTAAGCTACACTACATTTACCCAGTTCTTTTGTCACTTAGGATAATGGACGTACTCTTTTTGGCTCCCCTCGACTGGCTCGTGGCCAAAGCTCAAGGGACCAATGCAAGCTAGGGGCAGTGGCTGTTTACTCGATCTTACATAGCAAGACCCGTTTTGTTTGGCAGTTGCCCTTGCTGCCCCGTGTCCACTAGCCACTGTCCACTCACGGTACCGTGTCAACGCTAGCCTATCAGAAGCAAGCGTCCCTGGCAGTTGCTTTAGGGGGAAAGGGCAGGAAATTCGTTCCAATTCCCCTGAACTCAGGCAAGCATGAGCTGTCCCTAAACCTCCCTCTCCACCTTGAACCTTTGCACTCGTTCGACCTTCATCGCGATATCGCAGTCGCTTGTTGTCTTGTATTGCATTGTCTTTGTTTTCAAGTCGTGTTTTACGCTACAGATCCTCTTCTAATTCAACCTTTATCTTCCCATACCCAACTCAACAACTTCAAGATGGCTTCTGCAGCTGCCGAGAACGCTTCACCGATTGGTATTGCCAATCTGCCCAACCAGCGACACAAGATTGTCGCGAAGCGTGGCGCCGGTTTCACTATTATGGTACGCTTCTAAGCAATCAACTCACTCATTTTGCATTGCTATATGTACATAGCAAGGCACATCGGGATCTTCTGAACTTTTGCTCACCGCATCATGTCTAGGTTGCTGGCGAGTCTGGTCTGGGCAAGACTACCTTCATCAACACCCTTTTCTCTACCACCATCAAGAACTATGCCGACCACAAGCGCCGCCACCAGAAGCAGGTTGATAAGACTGTCGAGATCGAGATTACCAAGGCCGAGCTTGAGGAGAAGTTCTTCAAGGGTATAGCTCTGAATGAAGCACGCTGTTACTCAACCCTCGCTAACACCCCTTTCAGTCCGACTGACCGTTATCGATACACCCGGATTCGGCGACTACGTTAACAACCGCGATTCTTGGATGCCCATTATCGAGTTCCTCGACGACCAGCACGAGTCTTACATGCTTCAGGAGCAACAGCCCCGCCGCCAGGACAAGATCGACCTTCGTGTCCATGCCTGCCTTTACTTCATCCGCCCTACCGGCCACACCCTCAAGCCTCTCGATATTGAGGTCATGAAGCGTCTCTGCTCGCGTGTGAACCTTATCCCCGTTATCGCCAAGGCTGACACCCTCAGCCCCGCCGACCTGGCCAAGTTCAAGCAGCGCGTAAGTAATTATGCATTGAGTTCACAGCCCCCGATTCTAACTCTATCTAGATTGTCTCTGTCATTGAAGCCCAGAACATCAAGATCTACCAGCCCCCGATCGAGGAGGACGATGAGGCTGCTGCTCAGCATGCCCGCAGCCTTATGAACGCCATGCCTTTCGCTGTTATCGGCTCCGAGAAGGACGTCAAGACCGGCGATGGCCGTATTGTCAAGGGCCGACAGTACTCTTGGGGTGTTGCCGAGGTTGAGAATGAGGACCATTGCGATTTCAAGAAGCTCCGCTCTATCCTGATCCGAACACACATGCTCGACCTTATTCACACCACCGAGGAGTTGCACTACGAGGCTTACCGCGCTCAGCAGATGGAGACCCGCAAGTTCGGCGAGGCTCGTCCCCGAAAGCTCGACAACCCCAAGTTCAAGGAAGAGGAGGAGGCTCTCCGAAAGCGTTTCACCGAGCAGGTCAAGATCGAGGAACAACGATTCCGCCAATGGGAGCAGAAGCTCATCTCCGAGCGCGACCGTCTCAACAAGGATCTCGAGCAAACCCATGCTCAGATCAAGCAGCTCGAGCAAGAGCTGGAGCAGATGCAGGGCAGCGCTGTCCGCAGCCACGGTCGCCGCTAAACGATTTCGAGCACCCCTTTATGCACACTTGCTTGGCTGCAGTTGGACAGTCATTTCTTCAAGTTTCTTTTACCCGGAGCTCCGTTTGGGGTTTGGAGTTGAAAAATGAAAGGTCCGAAGAATACCACAAGAAGACAGGAGAGGGACCACGGGTTCATGGATACATTTGCTCGCTCTTCCCTGCAGAGGTCAAGGAGGAGCTGCCCTTGCCAGGATTTGTTATCATGGCCGCGGCATGTTGTGTAGGAGTTATGATTCCCTCCCCATGATTTTGTTTGTTCTTGGTTGCTATGCCGGCAACTCATACCCACAAGTACGAGACGCCTTTGAAGCGAACAAGACGTATGGAGAAAGCCTTGATAGTCTTGCCCTTTTTTATTACAACCTTTTACTAGAGCCCTTTCTCTCAGCTAGGCACATTTTAGTTTCGATGTAATTTCAATCACAACATTTTATGATACCAGTTTGAGATTCGAAGGTTTCAACCAATTGCATGAACCCTTTGGCTGCCATCCAATATTCCATGAAGTGTTGCAACAGTCCCATTAACCAAATGTGAACCGGGGGAAACAGCCACCAAACTCCATGCTCTAAGCCAAGCTGACCGAATTCATAACCAAAAAGAAATACATTGTCCTCTGAGTACAATATCGAAATCACTACAGGTTTCAAGTCAACCTCAGTCTTTCCGTCTAGGACATTACCCCAGACCCCCAGTGCTATAAGGCGTCCATGCTGGCCCGCGTCGTCAGTTGCTCGTTCTTATTACCAAGTCGCGAAATCTGCAGGAAGACATCCGTTCCGTAGCCCTCGAGGCTATGCAAGTCAAGATTTCCAGCCCAGTACTCTGCATAGACACGGCTCAGAGGCAACCCCATGCCGAGACGCAGGTTAGGCGGCCGACTGGTGAGAGACGATAACGAACTTTGATATGGGGGTGCTTTCAAATCTGCACGCCCCAATTCCTCCTCTACGTGAAGCTCCTGCATCGTTGCTGCCATCTTAGGTACCTGCGCAAGATTCTCGAGACGTCTTTGACTTTGCGGACCCTTACTGAAAGACCAGAGATGTGGCAGTTCAGCACGAGGGATACCGCCACCACGGTCGCAGATGCGGATAATAACATGTTGCTGGTTCTCGCAGATGGTTATCTCCACAGGAGGGGGCTTCACACTGTCAGGGTCCGAATGGATCCTCTGATGTCGATCAATGACGGCCTGGACAGAGTTGCGGAGGAGCTCGCCGATGATGTACTCGAGATGGCTTAGAATGTATGGAAAAGAGGCATCGAGATGGCCATCAACCGTGATTTCGGGAATCTGAACGTCAGGGCCATTCGTTGTGCGGGCAAGAATAGTGATGGCTTTGGAACAGCGCTCGACAACATCTTTAGCATAACATTTAATAAACACTTCGCCGATGAAGTCGGATTCGGAAAGTTTGGCTCCGGGAGAGAAGTTGGGGGAGTTGTAGGTTTCTGTTAGTGAAAGATGCTGCTCGGCGATGACACGTCTAGAAATGCGCTGTTCCATGTCAGTAAATCACCAAAGTCGTATAAGAATGGACACCCTACCGATCTAAGAATGGTGTTCATGAAGTTATCCAGATCTTGGGGACTCATGAGACCACCGCATTCTAGGATTCCCATAGCAAGCTTCGGTATCACAGTCAAGTGGCCCTTTAGATTATGGCTAATGAGTTCGCACAGCTTGTCGTTGTCCTCCAATGTTTTAACCTCTTTCACTTTGCGAAATGTATCGAAGGCATGGTAGTACAGGTCGTAAACCTCTTTGATATGTGGGTTCATAGTAACGACATAGGGTAAACGTTGCATATCTCGGATTCGGTGCGCAATTCTAATCACATGTCAGATCTCTTTATTCTCTGTGAAGCTTCTCGAGACTTACCGCGTAGGTAGTTCGGTGCGAACATAGTTAGCCGAGCTTATCAGACGAGATTCTGTAAGAGACCGGCCAAAAACCATAAGCTGGCGGAGACTGATAGGACGGGCTTCTTTCGCGACCCAGCTGGAGGTATCATGAGTTAGCTTTTGGAACCAGAAGTCATAGAAGAAAATTGCATACTCGTCAAGAATTGAAACAGGACGCCATGATGCGTTTGTACCAGCGCGAAACTGAAAGTTCGTATAGGAGGTACGGGGAATATTCGCCAGGTAAGGGCGCGGATCTGTCAGTTTACATCGCCTGCTCTGTCGCAGGGCGATGGGTGGCATGTCGTCACAGGCACATGCGAGAATGAATCGAAGTCAGTATTAGTTGATCCGTTAAGCCCAATCCGTTGGCATGAGTATAGAGTGCGCTTTCAGACGATGCTCTGCGTTTGAAAGAGGAGAGTATAGATGGTAGGAGGGAGAGGAGGACAGTATGCATACGCCGTCTCGGTGGGAAGGAAGCTTTGGGCGAGTGACTCGATACCTACTGCCCAGGAACGGGATTGGAGTTTTACCCCACATCTTGTTGGCGATACCGGCCCGCCCAAAATGGTGGGTTGCAGGAAGGAGGAGAGGTTTCCATTTGGGTTTATCCCGGCTACGGCTGAGTTCTGAGGCTGATAAGCCCAGCACAAGCTGTGAAGCTGTAGATGGGGCTGTTTGAGATTTGTGATTATTGATCTTCAGGAATCATGTCCATGACAGCCCGTCATCTGTCTTGTTGTATGAATCTAGGGTAGCTTCCTGGGTCTACCAGGGTGGCTGTGGCGTCTGATTGTTGCATTGTGGCAATGAGCTGTAACGGCCTGTGGGTATTTCATGTCTCTGTAGTCTGAATATCTGTCCCAACATGGCGTAAAGGGAAATAACAAGTCTTGTTTCATCAAGTACAAGGTTTGTCCTTTTAGGGGAAGCATGCTGACGTACACTTTGTCAATTTAAACTGTTGCTTCAAAGTACCACCCAAGCTAAAGTAGAACTTTGTAACATGGATCTATGAGCATGTCAGACAAGGCATCTCAGCTGCGTATTGCAAAGCTGAAAAACGACCTGAAAAACTCAGACGAATATGTTCCCCAGCTTGCGTCAGACCGCTTCTATTTGCCAGCTCACTCTTTGCATGTAACCTGAATGAAGGTACAAGCCATCAAGACCTAGGTTAGTAGGCATGATTTATCTGACAAAGACTCAAGCTTAGCCTTTGGCTATGAGAGACTGACAACGTCATTGGCGGGGTGACCTGATGACGCTTGGCGTGACTGTTGTCTGTTAAAGTAGTACATCATTTATAGTGTATCCATCTGCAAATAATAAGTCGCGTGACAACATTTGCGAGCTATCGCCTCACCACTCTCGTCAAGCCTGAAGTCTCGCACAACTCTTGTTCCCGCTGAATGATTGATTACTACTGGCTCTCTCTGCCTATCGATGCAAGGCATTGGATCCAAACTCACTCACTCACCTCACACTCCTTTCTCCCAGTTCAGTTTTATCCTCCAAACTACAGCCTCTTCTCTTTGTTTAGACGCGACCTGACTTGACCTGGAATTTGAAAGGTCTAGGGGCTTAGGACCTGAGTTGTGGGCATTGTCTTTTACTGACATAACCGACCGCTCTACTCTTTTTTCTTTAACAGTGCAGAACTCGTCGTCCCCGATCGTCATAGCATAGCATACCTAGCATTGCCTTGCCTTGCCTGCCTTGCATCGCATTCACTGCCTTGCCTTGCGCTCCAGTTCCGAGCTCTCTTTTTTTGGAGAATACTATTTTTGCTTGCGGCAGCACTTGGTGTCTTATTCCCTGCCCTTTGCGCCACTCGACTTTGTCGAGCTTTGGCTGAAGCGCCTGCATTGATTAAGTTGCTCTGCTACTGCCACGGCCGTCTCTATATCGTGAGGTTCACTCTCTCAGGTGCCTGCCTTAACGTCACCGATTCTTCCGCCTCGGTCGCAGCTTCTTCAAAATGGTACGTTCCAGTCTGCTGCTGCCCCTTCCCGTGCAATCTTGTTCCATGCAGCTTCCCGCGACTGCCATGGTCGCTGGAGAGCAACTCGTGCGGTCCCATCAACACAGCTGCGTCATCCTCCTGGCTCTGCGATCGTCACATATTATGCAACTTCGATTTGACCTTACCATATCTTCTTGACATGAAGCATTGCGCAGACTTCTCTACCTAGTGCCCTGAAGACATCATCACCTCCAATAGCCTACCAGCTGCCCCTCACCACCCACACTAACCCCAGTCACTCCCGATGCCGACATCATGACCTCGTTTCATCGTCGCCTGTGCTTTCGCTCAGGGCTCAACGCTGACCGTCGCAATCTGCTGCAGACTCACGATATCAACTCACCCAACGACATGGTCATGGACACGGACGATTATATCGGCGTGGCCAACGAGCCAGAGAAGGTCGCCATCATTAACCCCGATAACCTCGAACAAAGCGAAGTCGACCAGCTGCAAGATCTGCCCATGGCCAACGACCGTGCGTACTCCTTTCACTACCTAATTAACTCCTTACATCTGGTGCAGACCCTAGGCATCATAGGTTTTCTGTCGTGATCGCTGTTCCTGGAACTATTTGGGCTAACTGTCATGCCTCTAGATGAAGCCATGAGAGAGCTCTGTCTTCCACCCCTCATCGATGAACCGAAAATACTTGGAGACTACGAATACACATGGACTGTCGAAAACTGGCGAAGCTTGAATAAGAAGGAACATGGTCCTATTTTCCAAGCTGGTGGCTTCCCATGGTGCGCCTAAGTTAATCCCGGAACTGCCGTTACTCTTCATGCTGACGTTCCACTCCCATAGGCGAATTCTGCTTTTTCCACACGGCAACAACATCGACCAATGCTCTATTTATCTCGAACATGGCTTCGACACTGATAGTGTTCCCGATAACTGGAGCTGCTGTGTTCAATTTGCGCTCGTCCTATGGAACCCGAACGACCCCAGCCTATATGTCCATCACACTGCCCACCATCGATTCACTAAGGAAGAAGGTGATTGGGGTTTTACTAGATTTGTTGAGCACCGCCGAATGTT